GCAGGGTCAGATCTGGTTGAAATCTGGATGGGGGACTTAAACTGTGAACCGGCCAGAGAACTTTGGCCATGGGCAGTACAGAAGTGTAACGTGCTGAGGATGAGGATGCCCAGTTGGGGAAGGCTGATGAGGTTTTACTTTGGGGAAGGCTTAAGCCAGTAGCGTTTCAAACTAGCAACCCTCTTCCCTCTCCAAACACAGGCTGTGTGTGTGTGTGTGTGTGTGTACACACACATGTGCCAGACATGGGGTCCCAAGGAAATAGTTGTCTCTGCTGACATCTGCAAGGAGACCACAAACGTTATTTTCATTTGGTGCATCGATATCCTGCTAGGGACACTTTAAAAACAGACTGCAAAGAGAGAGAGCTTGCTAGATTTGGTGTGTTGGAAAGAACTAAAGGCAGTTTGTTTTCCTGGGGTGGTAACTGGGCAGATGGGAAGCGAGAGTTGTTGCTGGGGGCCAAACGGAGTGGAAATGTGGAAATGGGGATCACCCGGCCTCGGTTCCTCAGTTGCACAAAGCAGATGCCAAGGTGAAAAAGCCCTGTTGTGGCCTAGGAGCCTCCGGGCTTGTCGCACCCCCATGTCTCTTACCAGGGCTCTGTGGTTTTGACCCAAATGGGAGCAGCATGTGTCCGTTCAATTCTTTTTATGGTTGCACTTGCTTCTGAGCATACACCAAGTACAAAAGTTGAACCCTATCTACTGTGAATTAAGCAAAGCTGCTCTTACAAAGCCTTCTGCATGTCAACTTGATCCATCTCACCTGGACATGCACATGGTGGGCATGTCATGAGCAGAGTCGGTTGGAGCTGGGGGTCAGACTAGATGGCCCGGGAGACCCCTTCTGACTCGCTCTGTTTCTATGTTTCTATCTTTGGTCGTCCTGTTCATCTCCTGCCCCTGATTTTCACTAGCCTGGTTGCCCTCTTCACGGAAGATTAACTTCTTATGCTGTGTCCAAAGTAAGACAGCCTCCAGTTTGCCATTTTTACTTCTGGGGAATGTTTTGGCTTGATTTAATTGGAGACGCACTTGTTCGGCTTTCTTTTAGTCCAGGTATTTGCAAAGCTCTCCAAAACCGCATCTCAAATGCATCCTTTTTCTTCCAATCAGCTTTCTTCACTGACCAGCTTTCACGTGCAAACACAGTAAATAGGAACACAACTGTGCTCTGCCTCGCTCTGTTTCTGTGTTTCTATCTCTACGTGCGGTTGGGGATGAAAGGTCCAGTCTGAAAACCCCACAGAACTTCCACTGTTCAGTGAAGATTGTGGTGCGATTCATGTTATTTTTGCCTTGCATGTCTGATCCACCGGTGGGAGCCGGGTCCAAGCGGGTGGGCCTATACCACCTCCGCCCTGGGATGGGCCGCAAGCACAAGTACAAATTTGCATTGCGTTGCTACTCCTTGGAGTCTAATGAGCCGTTTTTTCATTACCAGGGCACCCTGACCTGCAGCCGGCGGTCCCAGATCTGCCTTCCAGCCTTGCCTAGATGGAACATTGCTCTCCCATAGCAGAGCTTGTTCTGCCGTCTCCCGGTGTCTTGCAGACGTGCCAGCGCCCTTTGTCTTTTCCATGTTTTGTTGCATCGCAGCCTGGAATCGGCGTTGCGATACAACATTGGGATGGTGTAAAACAATTGTATAGAGGCACAAAAGTTCAGTAAACCAAAGCAAGCTGGTATTTCTTGGTTGCAGAAGTCTCTCTCTGTCCCCAATTCATTCCTTGGCAGAAGCCCGTTGACAGCAATTATAGTTGTGAGTGAATGTATCAGCAAGGGTCTGAATACCGAATTTTTAGAAAATGCCTGAGATCACTGCTGTAAATGGTGGTCCTTATTTATGAAGTAGTGGCGTCCATATCTTCCCTTTCTTCCAAGTAGCCCAAGGCAGTATATGTAATTCTTCCCTTCTCTGTGTTAGCCTCACGACAACCCTGTGAGGTAGGCTAGGTTGGAAGGTGGGTAGTGTTGCAAAGGCACTGAGTGAGCTTTGAGGCCAAGTGGGGCCTGAAACTGGGTCTCCCGAGTCCCCGTGTAAGACTCCAACCACTGTACCCCACTGTCTCTCTGGGAATTTGGACCAGCCAAACCACAGATGAGACCCCAGAAGGTCTGAGCCCAAATTCGGTATTAAAACAGGTCAGACGCCCAGCCGAGGGGAGTGTTCTCATTCCAGCATATCAGTGCCATTTGCAAGGCAAATGCTCCCCCCCCCCTGCCCCGCTTGGCAGTTCAAAGCGAATGTTGCATATGACCTGAAATTCCAAACCAACGCCCACGAGCAGGTGGAAGGAGGTCCAGGACTAGATCGATTTGGGGAATCCTCCGCTTCCGGTGTGTGCTTTCACCACTGCTCTTTCTGTGGACATTCAGCACGTCCTTGGTCTCACCCATGCTGATAGAGCGAGCACCCTATTTTTTGCAATGTGGAATAGTCCTCTTCAGAATTCCCGCCGGCCATGCCCTCTTCCGCAATACTCCATTCCATCCCGCCAGTCCCCTTTCTCCCCAGCACGCATCCAGCATGCTGTGCATCCTTGAGGCTGCTGTTTATTTTTGCCACTTTAGGTTTTCTGCCCCCTTTGGATTTTTTTTTCCTTTCGCAAACCTCAGCCTTTCCCCAGGAACGCCGATACATCCCTCTTACCTCTCGGTGGCTTTTAAAGGGAGTGATAATGCTCGGTGCCACCATTTTTGCACGCCTTCTCACGTTTCACAAACTAAATTAGGGATTTGTTTGCAATGTTCCCCTTCTGTTCCTATTCGGGTTCCAAAGATGACGGCCCGAGTTCTTGTCCCGCTACAGTCACGGAGCTCACCGGGGTGACTCAGGGCCAGTCACAGGCTCTCAGTCTAAGCCACCTCACAGGGTTGTTGTGAAGATAAAAAGGACTGGAGGAGAATCGGTTAAGCCACCTAGGGTCTCTTGCAGAAAGAAAAAAATACTACTAAGAATTAATTATTAATATTTTAATTAATTACTAACAATACTGATCCTGCAATTGCCTTTCCCCCAAAGCGTTTCAGTTAAAGACACTAAGAGCTGGCCCAGAGAGCATTTCACCCTCTAACATGGTTGGACTTCAACTCCCATCCACCCCAGCCTCAATGTATAAACTGAAGACAAAATGGCAAAATGTAAAAACTGGGAGGTTGAACTGCTATGCGGAGACATCCGGGTCAAAACACTGGAGTTGCGCAGGACAATCTGTGGGTTTTCCTACAGCAGCCCAGTGTAACAACCCCCCCCACCCCCGGTTTGTAAATTAGATAAGGGATGCTGTCTTATCTCGGTGTTTATGATGCTTTGCTCCTTTGATCTTTGTTTCTAATTTCACTTTTGCCTTGTGGTTACACCGTTTATTGTATTTCTGGATTGTTCTGGCTAAAAGAAATAGGTCTGAATAGATCTCAGAGCAATAAATAGCTCCCACAGCCCCCGGCAGCAAGCAAAATGTACCCCTGTGTACACTAGAGGGGTTACAAACCCACGTGGTGCAAGCATTGTATCCAAGGCAGTGTAATTCCAAGGGCAGTGTTGTATAGTGGTTTGAGTACCACCGGTCAGACCCCTAAGGTCCAGATCCTCGTGATTCTTGCGGGCCAACCGGGGGCCAGCTTCTCTTTTGCAGACCACTCTACCTGATAGATTTGTTGCAAGGAAGAAAAAAAAAAGGGGGGGGGGAGAACAAATGCATGTGCTCCGAGATGGTAAATAAGTGAAATTTTCCTGAACGCAATACATCAAGTGAAGGACAGGTGGCAATCAGCTACAGGTCGATGCTCTGAGCTGATTCCTCACGACTCCACATGGGGCTGGGGAAGAGATGGCGTCGCTGCCAGCCAGGGACATTCAGGGCTGAGTGTGGGTTGCCGTTGAACTGCGGGTTTATTTTGTTTTAACTCCGAGGTGTCTACTGTGTTCTCCTCTCCCTGTAGCCTCACAGCCCCGGATGATTCGGGGCTTGCCATCCTGCCCCACATGCGGTGCAAGTCAAGCTGCACGGCCACGACTGGCCCAGAAAATCCACTGAGCTTCATGGCTGGATGGGGACAAGAACCTGGATCTCCCAAGTCCAATGCTCTTGTGGCTGCATCATGGGTTTTCCTAATGCCTGAACCCAGCCATGCTAACAAGCCATGGCTTGTTAACCACAAACAACCCATGAAGAGAACCCGTGGTTTGTCACTGGGTTGCCGTCGATGGGTCATTCAGCCCGCTCGGCCGTGAATGCTTTGGACCAGCCCGAGACTTTCAGTGTAACCTACTTCACAGGGCTGTTGCTGTGAGGACAACATGGGGAAGAGAACCTTGGAAGGAAGGAAGGAAGTCAATATTATATGTAATATAATGATGAGAATAGAATTTGACGGTTGCCGATCAATAACCCATGCTCTCTCGAGTGCGGGTTCTCATGCCGTTGGAATCTGGGTGGTGTGGACAGCCAGCGTGGAATAGATCATGTGTGGAGTCGATCAGACTGGACCACTGCAGAGGGACTGGCGACTATTTGCATGCCGCCTGGGCCTCCCCCTCTGCGCACGTGGGACGCACCCCTGCTGTGGCCACTCGTTCGATTGCGCATCCCTGGCCGCCCGGGAGGGCTTCGTGCCCATGAGCTACATGCTCTGGGCGGGGCTGAGGCAGCTGCCTGTAACCCCTGCCTGCTCGCCTCATCAGAGCGTCCACTCGTGCGAGGAGGACTCCGGACTATGGACGACGGCCGGGAGCCCGGCTGTGGGAGGGGTCCCCTTCTTTCAGTAGGGCTTTTCGGCATGTCTCCCGTGCTGCCCACACCTGCTTTCCCCCACTGGAGACACACCGAATTCCATCTGGGAGGATCCTGGCCAACAAGCCGGGCTGCTTTTTCCAGAGGAGCCAGAAGTTCCCATGTCAGTGGGGCCGTGTTGCCACTCCAGATTCCAGTCTGAACTTTTAAGGGTCTAGCCAAGGCACCAGACCACGGGCCCCAAACAGTTTTAGCACCACGGATGACTCCTTCAAGGTGCTCTTTGAAGCCGGCGTGGCAACAGGGCCTCACTGACGTGGACTCCTCCAGCCTGCAGGGTCCTTTTGCGTTCCTCAGGGCACCTGTGGGCGTGGTGCGGTTGCGGAACTCGGCCGCTGTGCCTCGTGCCGGCGAGGGATCTCGGGTCGGTGTCCCACAGCAAGCCATATTACTGAGCCGCATGGAGGAGCGCTCTCCCATGCCCCGCGAGATAATACAGGAACATCATAAGCAGACAAACAAGAGCTGGAAGGAGACGCTTCCCCTGGGCACACCGGGGGGCGGGGGGGGGCAAACTAATCAGGATGCCAGCAATGGGAAGATGATTTTAACATGAAAGCAAAAGCAGCCCCAGGGAGAGGCGAGTCAGCTCGGGACCACTGCACCAAGAAGGGAGATTAACTCTTTGTAACCCCCTCCACCAATTTTTCCTGTGTGCATTTCTTTTTCCCATCTCCAGTTGTCTCCTGCATTTCTAGGCTGACTCAGATCACTTTGCAGGGATGATCAGCGCAGTACAACTACAGTAATTCATGTTTGAAATGTGTGCTAACAAGCAACAAAAGCTGAGGATACAGGTATCAAAGCATTCATCTGACTTTTTGTCCATCTTGGGGGGCCCAAAGGGGTCTCCTGGGGGGTTTAGTGCAGTCAGTGAGTTGCTAATGTGGACTTACTCCCTTTATCTTCATTCCTGGGTGCCCAGGATCAAGTCCAGGATCTTTCCCTGCACTGAATTTGTCCCTTAAGCTGAAAGAAAATTGACACCTCTGCTTGACCTAAGCAAACACTTTGTTCATACCAGACCCAAGCGGATCATTCATGCATTTTTGCAAAGCAGGGTTCAGATGACAGGGCAACCCCCCATGGGTAGAATAACCCATGGGCTGTTGCCCACAGACAACCTGGTTTGTACAGGTTTGTACCCTGGAAAAATCAGTCCAGATTTGTACCACAGGGACACCCATGTTGGGTTGCCCTGACTTTTGAACTCAGACACTGTCCTCAGCGACTTCCGAGGGCCGGCTGGCAAGGGGAAAGAGGCCAGCTGTGCTTTGTGAGGTCAGGCGTTCCACAATATTTGTGCAGCTTCTCACCGCTATCCGCTGTGCCCTGCCCTCCAGAAAACACTCCAAAGAGCTTGGCTGCCGAGCAGGAGAGAAATATAATGAACAGATGCGCAAATAAAGTAAAATACACTATCTTCTTGAGAACAGGCCGAAAGCAGGTAGTTGCTTTCCTGAGGAGACTGGAAGGGGCAGTCACATTAACAAAATAGCACAGGAAGAAAATAACTTAGCACCATGGCCCTAATTCTGTAGCCCCGTAACCACTACTATTTTGATAGATTATACTTTTTTCCTGTTGATGGTTTTCGTTTTGCAGCGGGATTACAGACACCTTCCTGCCCTGTCACCTTCTTGGGCACTGTCTCCCAGTGTCGCGGGGCCCCGAGGTGCGGCTGTCTGGAAGCACTGGGGTCTCGGAGCAGCTGCGGTGGTCTGCAAAGCAGAGGGAAAGCCCTGGTCTGGCTTGAGCGGGATGAGGGGCACGCTCGGGTCGTCCCATGAGGTCGGCCCCGAGTGTCCACACGGCCCATCCACCCCGCCTCTTGCACTCGCTGATATAAAGGTTCAGGGGCCCATGGGGTCCCTGCTACACCCGATCCCCGGAGGAGCGGGCTTTGGCCACATCTGTTTCACCATTTGCTGCCCCCCGCTGGAATCTTTTTGCCTGCAGGAATGTCCTTGCAGCTCCCCGGCCAAGCAGGGCATGGCGCCCGGCTCCCCCGAGCTGCGGGCCGCGCCCCCCCCCCCCCGGCGGGACCACCGGCTCCGCTGCGTGTGCGACGCGCCTCTGCGCGCCGCGCTCCCGCTTTGCTTCCGAAAGAGCGACGCTCGCCCGGCCCCTTCCTGCCAGAGCCGCCGCCGCCGCCCG